CAAAAAAAAACGTACTCCATTTCAAATAGATGGAATTATTTATGCTATGCTTCTAGTTGCAATTCACATGGGGCTTGTATGTTGTAATCACAATTTTATTGTGAAAATCAAATAGATCAAATTACACTGTTTTTAAGTGTTGCATATGAAATATTGTTGAGGGAAGTTGAAGAATAAAATGAAAATTGAGAAATAACTTACAAGAAGAGAAAAGATGATGATGAAGAATGTGCCATGAGACTATGAGAGGATGAAAGATTGGAAGAGACATACTGAGTGAGAGAGATAGAGGTGGATATGAAGGGTTGAAAGAGTTAGAGTTTTATTATTTTCTATTTATATGGGAATGCTAAGGCTGGGTATTTGGTGGGCTATAAATTTGGGCCTAGCTTAAAACTAAATTTGCTTGCACACATATATTTCTAGCATAATTCGGTTTGGGTTCGATTTTCAATTTTGAAAAGCCTAAAACTGAATCCAAAACGAAAATTAAATTTTCAATCCAATGCAAACCAAATTTAAAAAAATATCCAAATTGATAATTCGGTTTGATTTTATCCATATTACTTTCACCCCTACCTTTAACCCTCATTTTCTCAAAACAAGCCTTTACCGATTTATGAAATTGGTAACTTGTTTTAGAAGGTGACTTGTCACGTGTGTTCTTATAATTGGTTTTTTATTATATAATTTGTAAAAAAATTAAAAGAATAAAAATAAATTAATTAATAACCCTTTCCCCTTCCCTCCCTCCCCTATCGAAGCCCCTCTCCCCCTTGCCGGACCAGCCTCCTGTCGGACTTAACCACCTAATCAGACACATTAGGACAACCAACAGGAAACCACATAACCAAGGCCTAAGTAGACATCAAACTAAGCAAAAAATGCCCAAATACACACCTACTTGACCTAACAACAAGGGCATGGCATTGTAAGCACCAATTGCGCCACGCAAATGAATCTTAACAACCACGAAATCACCCGAACAACATCAAAAGTCCATGTACAAGAAAGGCCAGGCTAACATCGGATGCAGAATAAAAAAGAAATCCGGCGCCATTCACGAACAAAGAAGTTTAACCCAAGTAACAAAAAATCAGCGACCAAAAAATATGAGTCATGATAGATGGGGTCCACCTTACTTCTCTGGTGCAATTATTGTAAGGAAACTTGCAATTAATACTGTCATTGTGCTTGAGCAAGAAGAGAAGGTTGATTTGGTGATTGAATTAAGCCGGATGCTCGACATTCGACCGACAATTAGGGTTGTGCAAAGCCTCCCCATCTGGACATGGTGTCGTGATCAAGTGGTGGTTAGGGTTTTGGGTGGTGATCATGTGGTGGTTATGGATGGGTGAGTGGTGGTAATATGGATGAAGGAGGTGAGGTGGGAGAAGAAGAATTAAAGAAAAATAAAATAAAAATCGAAACAAGTTGAAGGTTAAAAGGATCATTTTGAGGACATGGGGGTTGAAGGTGATATTGTTTCCAGATTTCAAAAAAAGGTGGGATTGTTTTGAACGGAATGGGCAAAGTAGGATTTTTACTTTCCATTTTTACTTAATTATAATATGTGGATATCTTAAAACAAAGTAAGAAATTTTTTCATACCTTATCAATTTTTCCATATCTTTAAAACAAAGTAAGAACTTTTTTATACCTTATTAATCCTTATGTTATCGTTTCAAACAGACGTTATTATCAACAAATTTTGTAAGTGTTCATCTAGTGAGTACCTAGGCATTCTTTCATTGCTTAATGTCAAAAACCATCACAATATGCAAAAATGCTCATTTATTTGATAAATGAATTGAAAAGAAAAATCAAAACTCCTAAATAATATTAAATTAAAAAACATATATATATAAAGTGAAATATATTAAAAACTCAACATATAGTGTTTAAAGTAAAAAAAATGTCAACTTAAAAAACGATTATATTTCACAAAAAAAAAATATAAAAAAAAAAAAAAAATTATGTTTGGTGACAACCAACGACTACTTATTTCTCTCTTTGGTAAATTGGAAAAAAGTTATTATATTTGATAATCATGAATATATGATTACCAAATATAATATCTATTTTTTAATTGGGATTTTCTATATGGTGTCATTATAGTTTGGACTATTCCATTTGGTACCAAATTTTTATTTTTATTTCCAAATGGTACCACTATACGGACTTTCGATTTATTCTTTAGAGTAGCATTCTATCAAATATAATATGTGTTCTTCGATTTAGGTGTCATAAAAATTGATCGATTAAGGTTTTAAGAGGATGTTTTAGCCCTTAGCAACCTTAAGGTTCAATTTTAGCAAAAGAATGCTTAAAATGTCTCAGTTTATGTGCAAGGAAAATGTCTTGATTTGTATATTTCGAATTGTTTTGCAAAAAAAAAAAAATGTTCGGTTAAAGTTTAGGGGGTCATTATGACCTTAAAGGATCAAAATTTGCAGTCGAAATTAGAAAGAAAAAAAATGACCACAATTGCCCCAAATTAATATTTCAGTGTTTTAGTGTGTGTTAGCTTGCCGCACGATGTGGCTAGCTAGTATATATAAATTACCCTGATATAAATAAAATTTATTTATGCTTTATTGGTAAAAATTTCCTAAAAAAAACTAAAAGTTACCCTAAATTCAATAAAAGTTACCTCGGTGTACAGTAATAGTAATGTACACAAATGTATACAAAAGTTTTTGTATTTGTAATTGCATGGGCATTTTGTTATTTTTTTCCTTTTATCATAAACTTTGTGTCCATCCAAAATGGTGCAATAAAAAAGTAGAGGAAGTAACTTGTATAGTTTTATATGGAGTTGTCAATTTGATTGTTCGGGTCGGATTCCATGAGGCCGAGTTGGGTCAGGTCTATTTAAATATGAGTCATAATAATTTATTATATCCATGCAAGTCGAAATTTGAATCGGATATTTTTCGAGTCAATTTTAAATCGAGTCGGGTCGGGTGTGGTTAGTTTTGTACTATCCCTTCCGTCCCCAAATATTTGTCACTTTTGATGAAAATTCACATGAATTAAGGTGGAGAATGTAGAGTAATGAATATTTATGAGAAAAAGAAATTCCCAACTAATAAAGTAATAAAAAGTGCATGGGAAAGAGAAATTCCAAATTACAAAAGTAATTAAAGTACATAGGAAATAAAAATTGAGAGATTCAAGAGTGTAAAAAATTAAATTAGTCAAAAGTTGGCACAATTTTTATGGCAAATATTAGAGTAAAATAAGAAGAAGATATAAGAACAAAAAAAAATTGAGGGTATAAAAGTCTTTTTATATATCTTAATAATTATGAAAATATGAAATTTGACAAACATTTAGGGACACTCAAAATGACAAAAGTGACAAACATTTAGAGGGTGTTTGTTTAGGGGGATAAAAAGGGTGGGACAAGGATAAAATATGGGATTTGTTAAACATCGCCCGCAAATCTCCACATAAAGCCCACAAATTAGACATGGTTTGACAATTTTGCCCATTTCTAAAATCGTACCCAAAGTGAACAAATCTCGATCTAACAAATGTGGAGTCGTACTGGGTTGCCCAGGGAGGCCGGAGAGGCGAGGGTCGCCGGAAATACGTCGTCTTCGACGGAAAACGAGGTGGCGCCTAGTTTGGACGCCGGAACCATGGCAAGGACGTCCAGGCAAGGCGCCACAACCAGTGCACTGGCGTCCAGGCCAGACGCCACAACCAGTGCACTGGCGTCTAGCCCAGGCGCCTCAACCAGTGCACTGGCGTCCAGGCCAGGCGCCACCACCAGTGCACTGGCGTCTGGTTTGGACGCCGCCCTTACTTTTTAATTTTTTTTTTTTTTTGCCTTTTTTTTTTATTTTTTTAAATTATGTTTATTAAATTTATGTTTTGATTTAGGATGTGGAAATTTATGTTTTTTATTTGATTTTATAAAAAATATATGTACTAGACTTATAAAAAATAACACATAAAATTAACAAATATTTAAAAAAAAAAATCAAACACATTAAAAAAAAATTAGAAAAATTTTCTGATTTTCCAAAAAAAAAAATAAAAAAAAAAAAAAAAATTAAAAAAAAAAAAAATTTAAGGTAGCTGGGGCGCCTGACCAGGACGGCCCGTGGCTGGTGGTGGCGCCAGGTCCGGCAGCCACGTCCACCGGCCTGGCGTCTGGGCAGGACGCCCAGCCACAGTGACTGGCGCCTGTCCCAAACGCCACTCACCGTGGCTGGGCGTCCTGCCCAGACGCCACGCCGGTGGACGTGGCTGCCGGACCTGTCGCCACCACCACCTTGCCGCCACGAGCCACCACTACCTTGCCGCCACGAGCCAACCACCTTGCCGCCACGAGCCTCGACATCCCCGTACTTTGATTTTTATTGAGGTTGTGTTTTTTTTTTAAGGTCAAGGGCAATATTGTAACTTCAATATAAGTTTGTGGGCTTTATGTGGAGATTTGCGGGCGATGTTTAGCAATCCACTAAAATATAGGGATAGAAGAAATGTAGTGTTTGTTTAGAGGGATGAGAATTAGATGGGGTTAGGAACAGGGATAAAAACATCCACTTATCCCTCCATTTTTATAACTAAGGGGGTGGTATAAGGGGAAGGGATAAGAAATGGGTTTTAAAAGACTAAATTACCCTTAATGAAATTGAAAGGGTAAGGAGAAAGGGTAGAAGTTAGTAAGTGTATTTTTATAAATTTGTTACTTATCCTAATTTAATTCTCATACTTACCAAACATGGAATAAAAATTATTTATCCTTGTCCCACCTATCAATCCCTTATCTTTATCTTTCTTTCTTATCTCTGTTATTTTCATCCCTCCAACCAAACACCCCGTTAGGGATGGAGGGAGTATGAGTATGTAATAAAAAGAATAACTAGGAAAAGTTGTCAAAATTAGAAAAAAATAAAAGTACTCCGTATAGTTCACAAAAAGTAAAAAAAAAATGCGTTTAGCGTTTGGAAGTGGAAGACGTCCACTTCAGATAATTTCAACAACCACTAAGCAATTCCAGCAAACAACAACAACAACAACATCACATTCACATCCCTTCTCTCTCCTCTTTCTTCTTTAAAACCTCCTCTTCTCTCGTCTCTTCTGTTTTCCCCTCCAATTATTGTCCCCTTTCCCCTTTCTTCTTCTCAACCTCATTTCGAGCTCCAACAATGGCGGCCGTTGACTCCACCAACTACGGATTCGATCGTCCTGAGATGTATTCTCTTCCCGTCGCTAATTCCGTCGAAGCTTACGATCGTCATGTCTTCCTTTGCTACAAATCTCCCGAAGCTTGGCCTTCTAATGTTGAAAACTCTGATGTCGATCCTCTTCCTAAGCTTCTCGCTTCTGCTCTAAAAGCTCGCAAGGATGATATTCCTCTCAAGGTCTCTTCTTCTTTGATTTCGTGTTTTTTGATTGATTATTGTTTCTGAAATTAGGTTTTTGTTTGATCGTTTGTTGTGGTTTTAATTTTTGTTGATTTTTGATCTGTTTCATGTATATTGCTCTAATTTTTGCTGTTTGACTCCAGATTATTGTGTGTTGTATTATCATTGTTAATTATATAGTTTTGTTTGTTCATAATTCGTTTTCACTCGCTAAATATATGTCGAAATGTGTGATTCCTTTAGTTTTAGCTCAGAATCCATTACTGTTTTATACGATGAATTATTTTTGTTGATTTTTGATCTGTTTCATGTCATATTTCTCTAATATTTGCGGTTTGACTCTAGATTATTGTGTGCTGTAGCCTGTATTATCATTGTTAACGATTAGGATTTATTAATTACGAACTATATAGTTTGGTTTGTTCATCATTGGTTATCACTAGCAAAATATATGTTGAAATGTTTAATTCCTTTTGTTTCAGCTCAGAATCCATTACTGTTTTATATGATGAATTATTTTTGTTATGTTTATGGTATCATTTTTATTTTTCCTTATTGATTGTGTGAATGTAATTTAAGAATATTTTTGTATTATATCAGATGAAGAGTTATAGTTTTTCATTTTCTGATTTAGAAATATATTTTTGAGGTTTGGTGTAAAATAATGTTAGGTGATGTTAATCAACTTTTGTAGGCTCTAATTATACAAAGTAGATGGATGTGTTACTCTGGGATAAAACTGTTGATTTGATGTTTAGATGGCAGGTCGTAGAAAATTTTGTGTGATTAGCAACACTAATTTGCTGCTATAAACTGTGAATTTGTATTTCGGGATTGTAAAGTTCTTTTGATGGGGTTTATTTTCACATTGTGATGCTTATGGCATTTAAGTTATGAGTCATGGCGTGCTAAACTTTTGCTTTATATCTTGGGTTTCCAATTGCCTAACTAGTTTCAATGAATCGAATCACCCGTAGTTATTTTAAGGGTCCGTGCTATTCAAAGGTGAATCAGTCACTAATGATAATGTTCGTCTCTTATTATGCAGACTCGTCTGACCATATGTGGTGGCTGCAATGGGGATGAGTGCTCAGATGGTGATTTATACATTTTCCCAGAGATGGTCAAATATAGGTAAACAAATTTCATTACGACTTCCATTATTTCACTATTTAATGTTGATTTCTATTTGATCTCATTGATGACGTTTAGGAGTTGAGAAAAATTTGTAGAAAAAAGTCGTTTTAAAACACAATTTTTTTTGAAATAATACCTTTTATGATTTATTATTTGTGTGAAAGCAACTTTTAATGTGAATTTTATTAAAATTAGCACTATTTTCTCAGAATCCAGCCAATAAAGTTAGATATCCGTGTCTTATGGTGTGTGAAGCGCACACTCCTTTTCTAATTTTTCCCTCTCACGCCGATTCTCTTCCCCCTTTTATTATCTTCATTTGTTCATCAACAACATTAACTTTTTTTTGCTCTCCTTGCAAATCCAATAGGTTCCGTTTCTTGTACTTTCATTTTAAGCTGTGATTGATTTTCAATGTTTGGGTGAGAATCTTCCCCATTTTGCATGTATAAACGTTGAACTATCTTGAATAACATATAATCTAATTTTGTCTACCAAAATTCTAAATAGAAATCAAGGTTTCAATTGCAAAGAGAAGAGTAATTAAATACAACACCCTATCTCTCACTTCTTTTTTCTATGGTGGTTGTTTTTCATCATCCTCATAACTCATCACTATGTTGTGCAAGGCTGTTTGATCAGATTGTTACTATAATCCCATAATCGTATTATTCTTTCTATTCCACGGGTAATCAGTTCTCTTTGAATATAACTTTTAATGGGGCAAAAAAAGAATGAGAGCTGTAATAGCAAGAATTTCAATCGTGTTGAATAAAAAATCTGAATATAAATTGGCTTGATATCCTTAAGAAATAGATTTTCAATAGAGGAACATTGAATATAGCATACCTGCTGTTTTGGGGTAATGCTTGTAAAAAATACAAAACCACTTGAGACACACAATATTACATTGTTGGTAGCTGATTTGGGTTTTTCAATCAGTTATAGCGGAAGGTTTAACGGTATATATGCTGTGAAACCACTTCTACTGGAGCCTTTTTAATATTTGATGTAACAAGTAAATTGAGGCTAAGATGAATTCAGGGAGAGAAAAAGGAATTAGATGGAATAGGAACATTGAATATAGCATACTTGCTGTTTTGGGGTAATGCTTGTAAAAAATACAAAACCACTTGAGACACACAATATTACATTGTTGGTAGGTGATTTGGGTTTTTCAATCAATTATAGCAGAAGATTTAACGGTATATATGCTGTGAAACCACTTCTACTGGAGCCTTTTTAATATTTGATGTAACAAGTAAATTGAGGCTAAGATGAATTCAGGGAGAGAAAAAGGAATTAGATGGAATATAAAAGGAGAAAAGATTAAGATCAAAGAGAGAGAGAGAGAGAGAGAGGCTGGATTCTGATCAAAAGGTGTTACTTTTAGTAAATTCCATTTTATCAGGAGCTTTCTTTAAAAAGTAATAAAAAACAAAATAGTATTTCACAAAATTTGAACTTTAAAAGGCCCTTTTTTTTTTTTTTTGGACAAATTTACCTTATTTTTACTAGCGATTAGCTATGAAATGTAGGCCTTATTATTTCTCGACGGTATATTTTTGCTTTGCCTTTTTTTTTCATTTTTTTTGTTTTTGGTTGTGACCTTTATTTATTTATTTTTTCATTATTGCTTCTTCAGCTCTAAATTGAATATTTTGGTGATTGTAGGGGGTTGAAGGAGTCAGATGTTGATGCTTTTGTTGATGACGTTCTTGTGAATGGTAAGACATGGGGTTCTGAAGTACCTGAATCCTTAGTTGGTGCATATGTTTTTGTTTGCTCCCATGGTAGCAGGGATAAAAGGTGTGGTGAATGTGGTCCTGTCCTCATTGAAAAGTTCAAGGAGGAGATTCAGTCAAGGGATTTGAATGATAAGGTTTTCATGAGTGCTTGTTCTCATGTTGGGGGTCACAAGTACGCTGGAAATTTGATCATCTTTGGGACAAATGCTGAGGGAAAGGTTACTGGGGATTGGTATGACACTATTATCTTTCTTTTCATTTGCTTGACATTTGCAGTGATATGTTGTCAGGGACTAATTAGTTACTTGCTGGTTTGCAGGTATGGTTATGTCACTCCAACTGATGTGCCAGACTTGCTTGATGTGCATATTGGCAAAGGAGAAATCATAGAAAAGTTATGGAGGTATGTTGTCTTATGGCTTCAGTTAGGTCTGTTAAATTATTTCTTGTTGGATGCTGTTTATAGTTTTAGCAAGTTTGAATGTGGTATACCCTGTTCCATGTCCCAAATTGGTATGCACTCTAAGCTTTGGGCTTCATAATGTAGGACATTTTTGCCTTTAAAATCCAAACTCTGATCATTGCCTAAAAATTAGGAAATTTCTTTTTAACGCGTATGTAACTTTTTATTTTTAATAAAAAAAAAATTAAGAGTTTTCTGGAAAAAAAAATGAACTTTAAAAAAACTTGAGTACCTTGTGCCTTGAGAAGTTTAATGGGAGGTGTGTTACTGCATGTATCTTTGACACTTGACGATCAATTTCAGGGGTCAAATGGGCTTGAAATTAGAGGCTGCTGAAAAAGAAGAGAACAAACCCACAACTGAAAACATTCAGGAGAAAACTGAAGAGAAATCACAGGAAACTGAGGTTAAGGAAAGTACAACAGGCTGTTGCCAGGGTACAAATGCAGTTTCTTGTTGCAGGGATGGCTCTGTTGCCAATGGAGAAGTTGCAGAAGTAAGCCCAAAGAAAGCCTCAGATGAGCCTTGCAAGAAAGGCACTGTATGCTTGCCAGCTTGGGCAGGAAAATGGGAGCAGAGTGATCTTCTGATGGTCGGCGCTGTTGTTGGTGCTGTAGCAACTGTTGCTGTGGCTTATAGCATCTTCAGAAGGTCGGCATAGGCTCTCAAAATGTCTGCTTGCAGTTAGATGTGTGAATTACGATCTTTTTGTAGTGAGGTTTAAACAATAATCTTTAAATCCTTGCGTTTGGCTACTAGTTAATTGCTAATATAGCCTTAAAGTGGGATGGGTATGGGTGATTTGGTGGATTTAAAGACAAATCACTTCACTATCCCAATATATTGCTTCTCAAGCACTATACAGTTTATATTTGGGGATTGGAGAATCCTTGTGTTACATTGAAATAACACTTGTATTAGTTGTGTTGCTAGTCAATTTCTAGCTAATATGAACAACGAAACTGATTTTCTGTGCATCGACCGACATTTGTCTGATGTGTGTATCTTTGTATGTTATTACTCTTATGTTTGGTTGCTGAGGCTTGGGGGTTGTGGAAGGTAGGAAATAACATTTGTTCAACCTTTGCTTTCAGTCAAGGACATTTTTAGGAGCTCTGCTTCTTAAATCAATAGCCGATGTTCCTTGTTATAAGGTTTAGGAAAATTTAATGGGAATAATCCAACCTTTGCTCCGTTCTCCCATATTAATTCAACCTTTCGATTATTCCGCATTTATCCAACCTTTGCCCCCCATTTTCTCCCAGCAACCCTTGTAGGTCAACAATCGGTATCAACCGGTTTTATGATGACGTGGCACTTACCGTTGTTTGAATTATTTTGGTTTTTTAAAAAATAGAAAAAACTCCCCTTTATTTAACAACCCCCCTCCCTCCTCTGTTCAGCTTTCCCCTTGTGTGTTCCTCCTCGATTCTTCACAACCATTCTTTCTCAATCCTGCTTTATTATTTGAGGTTGCGAATTAATTTAGAAAAATCTGTAATTATGGATAGGGCAAAACATCGAGGAAGTTGCAATTCTGGTTTGTCTTCTTCAAGGGGTTGTCTGTCGAACTTGAAATGCAAATGTGGAACTGATGCGATGGTGCGTACTGTGAAGAATGGTCCAAATTCTAGAATGAAATTCTATGGCTGTCACTCATGGCCTGTGAGTTGCGTTGTTATTGTAATTGAATTAGGGATTACAATTTAGGGTTTATTTGGGAATTTAATACTGGTTGTGTGTTTTTCAATTTCAGGATGCGGATTATGGTTTTTTCAAGTGGATTGGTGGTGTTAGAGAAATAGAGGATGAACTCCGGTTTCAGTTGTTCGAGAAGGAAACCACAATTGCGGAATTGGAAATGCAGAAGCAGATGGTTGAAGAGAAGGTTAAGAAGTTGCAATTGAAAAAGGAGAACATAGAAGAAGACTTGCAGGAGTTGAAAGCAGAGGTTTCTCAAATGCGAATTGAACTTATGAAGAGTTCTAGGAATGCGAAGAATTTTTCTTTGGCTTTAATGTTGCCATGGGTGTTATTTGGGATTATTGTGATGTATTTGAAGTAGGTTATGTTAGAATTGTTGAATGTAATGTGTTGAAGTTATTAATAAAAGGAAGGTGTTTAGAAACACTCAATCTTTTCTGTGTGCATATATATGTATATGCCTTGGTGAAATGTGTTGACAGTGTAGCAAAAACCATGTTGACAGTGCATGACAAACCATACATAGTTGATAATAATTTGGCCAACAATGATAGGCATAAATTACATGCCACCATATTGATAGTGTAGCATAAACCATACATAATTAATAGCCTAAAACATTGTTCACAAAATATTCCCTAAGTCAAAATAAAGGTTAAAATATTGTCAATACATGCAACTGATAGGCTAAAATATTCAGAGTACATATTGTACTCAAAATATGGCTAAAATTACATGTCACCATCTTAGTTTGATCCAGGTACTTGTTGTTGTTGTGTTGAACACCTCATCACAGCTTGTCAAACTTGGCTGCCTTGAGTTCCAGGGTCATTCTACCTGCCTTGAGAAGGTCCCTGTAAACACATGACAACACAATGTAAGTGAACAAAGAAGATCATAAAGACATGAAACTAAACAGAGTGAAATGAGCTAACTCACTCCTTGGATAGCACTGCCATCAGCTGAAATAAGCATCCCAACACCAATAGGAGGTCTGTTCCTTCCTCTTCCTCTTCCCCTTCCTCCTTGTCCTGTTCCAGTGCTCCCCCTAACAGATGCAGTAGAAGAGGATCTGCCACCTCTTGAACCAGGTCCTCCTCTTAAACCAGGTCCTCCTCTTATCATCCTCCCCTCTCTCCTAAGCTGGTTAGGTTGTGTAGTAGCAAGGTGATGTTGTTGGGTGGCACCAGTAGGTTGCTGCATAGTAGAGATTTGAGTTTGTTGGTCAGCAGACCCTTCTGAATGGGGTACCTGACCATCATTCCTTGGTTTGCCCTTTGGTCTTTTTGCTGGAGGTTCACTAGCAGTAGATGTGTTGTTGTTTGGACACCTTCTTTTGTTATGACCCTTCTCTTTACACACACTGCAGGTCATTTCCATGCCAACCCTTGTCAATGTCCCTGGTTTCTTGGGATTCTCATGAGGATCCTTGATCCTATTTTTCCTAAGCCTGCCTGGTCTTATCTTGATGGGAGGGGGTTCAAGGTTACAATTCACTTGTGGCCAATGTCCTTCCCCCTCACATGGTGGAATTGACCCTTAAATAGAGAGCATAATCATATATTAACAACATCAACATTGACAACATAAGCCTAACTTTAACTAAAAACAAACCTGCATAAGCTTTCATGTACACATCCTTCCTGTACCATTTATCAACATAGTCTTCAGCATTTTGGTGCAGGAAAAAGATGCATGCAACTGCATGGAAACATGGTATTCCAACCATGTCCCACTTTCTACAAGTACATGTTCTTGTCGATCTCCAAATTCACAACTAATTGATCTAGCTGGTAGCTAACATTAAACAATGATTCAATTGAAGGCATGACATCACAGTATGCAACTTTGTCTTTCTCTTTCTCAAGCTTCTTCAGAATATAGGGCAAAGAACTGAAGTACATTTCTGCATTTCAATCCTCTTTAGCACAAGCCTCTGCATCAAGGCAGCCCTAATTTCCTCAAGCATATAAATCAAATGCTTTGTTCTAGCATTGATGATATACCCATTAAAGGTCTCAGCCATGTTACTAGTGATTGCATCTGTTTTCACAGATGTGTCCAAGAAGGCTCTACAGAATAGCTTAGGGTTGTAGCCTTTAAATGCAGTGGCAGCATATGAGTTTAATGTCTCCAGCTTCTCTAAAGCATCATTATAATCAGCTAAGTTGTATGCCTTAGCTATTGTCCAAAACAGAAGCTTCAAATCATCCCCCTTATAAGTTCTTTGCCACAATGCAAACACATGCCTAGCACAGTGTCCGTGCTCTGCCCTAGGGAGGACAACTCTAACACCATTCAAGATAGCCTTCACAACAAACAACATAACCATATATCACAAATAAGGCAATAAAATGCATAACAATGAAAACAACTTCAACAGACAGAAGACATACCATGTGTTCATCTGAAATGATGCAGATCCCTTCTCCATCTCCAAGATCTAGACACTTTTGAAGTTCCCCAGAGAACCACTCCCAATACAGATAGTTTTCCCCCTCAGCAACTGCCCAGGCAATGAGATACATTTGCTCATTGCCATCCCTGCCAACTGCTGTCAACAGCTGCCCTCCTATAAAAGTTTCCAGAATACACCCATCCACACAAATCACCCTTCTACACCCCTCTTTCCAACCATTTTGCAAACCCTCAAAACAAGTAAACAATCTTTGGAAAACAGGTGTGAGTGGCTTTTTCTTCAGTGTTGTCACAGTCACCAACTCAAGTGAACTCCCTGGACTACTACTCTTCAAAGCAGCCAGGTACCTACAACCTTTTGATAATGCTCATGCATTGACCCATGGAGCAATTTGTGTGCAGCATATTTCACCTTATATGCAAATCCCCTCCTCACTACCACCTTAAAAGCCCTCCTGATTGTCTCAATGATCTCTTTGGCAGGCCAATGGGGTCTACTTTTGAACACCTCTAAAAATTGCCTAGCTACCCAAGTAGACTTCAGTTGTCTGTTTCTTTTCATGTTTCTTTGATAGGTATGGTCTGACTCAACCCTTTTAACCACAAATGTTGCTCTCCTAGAATCCTAAGCACCATACAGGTAAAAACCACAGCCTGGCACACACCCAACTCCAAGTCTTTGCTTCCTTTTTTGGTCACTGATCTCAAATACTAGATCCCTTCCCTGTAATATAGCATACTTAGCCACTGCATCTTTAAAATCATCCCTAGATGCAAACCTTTGACCAACCTTCCAAGTGAACACATCAAAATCTGTGTCTGCTTTCACCAGAGTACCTGACCTCTTCTTTCTTTCTTCCCTAGTTTCATCCTCATCACTGTTTCCTGGAGTCAGTAAATCATCATCACTGTCATCATATTCACTCTCATTTCCTTCCTGACCAGTCCCTACTGTTGCTCCTCCTACTTGAGTCTGTTCCCCATGGTTGCCTAACCTCCCTTCTGCAGCTTCCCTCTGAAGTTGCTTTGCTATTTCAACAAGCTTAGTAGAACAAGTCCTCACCCTCTCTTTTGCAGTTTTGAACTCTTCATCATCTACTTCTGTTTCATAACCTCCATCATCCCCAAGCAAACTTTCATTGAACCCCTCCTCCTGCTCATCAAACTCATCTTGTAGATCTAAACTTCCATCTAACTCATCCTCAGTGATAGGATCATATAGTGGATCTGAATCCTCACTCTGCTCAGAAAAGTTTAAAAGCTCATTCCATTGTAGTGGGTTTTCTGGTCTGTTATCTAGCCAAGGGTCATCCACTACCACACCAATCCCTTTTCCTTTATCAGTGATAGGATCGTAGACTGGATCTGAATCCTGAGTCTGCTCAGAATATTTTATAAGCTCATTCCATTCAACTGGGCTTCCTGCTCTGTTATCTAGCCAAGGGTCATCCTCAATGATCTTTTGGGGTGAGTTTGGGTTAGGTTATGTGAAAGGAGAAGCAAATGTTGTTTGACTGTATTGACTGCTAATGGTATATGCAGAGAGAGGTGTGGGTGTGTGTCTGTCTTTTTTTTTTGCTTTATTAAGGGTTGAGTGTAAGGTGGCTTAGATTTTTGTGAGACAAGATCTGAGGTACAAGCATCTTTCTGGTTGGAAGCATCTTTTATCATTAAGGTTTTGGGTGGGCACCTCCTTATTGGCAACTTCTGCTTAGGTTGAAAATGTGGGCCCTCCATTCCATCACACACATAAATTTCAATACATCTGTTTTTCTCAACTAAACTCCTTATCTCCAGCACTTCAAGGTCTGAGTAAACCTTTCTCAAACCATTTGCTAAGGTCATACCAGGAACTTAATAAAACAGAAAGTCTATCTTATCATAGTCCCCACATTCTTTTGCAAAATCTTCCAACCACCACCAACACAACTTGTCAGTATCAATGCAAAAAGTCCTAAATTTTCCACTTTTATATACTACCTCTCCATTTGCATAGGTTTTGAAAACACCCCCAAAACGATACTTCAGTGTGACAGCAGAGAAAGGGTCATCAATCTACCAATAAACCACAACATACACAACAATTTACAACCAATAAACCAAAGCAGAGCAAAAAATTCGCAATAAAACAATCAATTATTATCAAACACCACATTCATAACACTACAGCAAACATCACAACAATTGTCGCAATTACATAGCATAGGCATCCAAAAAAAGCAAATTTACCACACCTAACATACAATTACCCATAAAAGGAAAAAAATTTAGGGTTCATTGATGACATACCTCCATGTGTAATGCGTTGATTCGAGGACCACAGTAGTCTCCTGCGCGAATTCGTTCTGCTTTCACCAAGTACAAATTTAGGTAGAACAGAGTGGAGAGCAGTAATTGAGAGTGAAAGGAGGAGAGTGAAAACAGTAAGGAAAAAAAGTAATTTGAAGGGAGAAGTAATGGCGATAAACGCTCATCAATTGATGGTGATGGTGACACAAGTGGTTGGAGTAGTAATGGCGCCTAATTCATTGAAGAGGGAAAGCAAACAGTCAACATGTCAACGGCAATAAGATTGATTTCTTTAGCCGACTGCCAGTTAAAAAGGGTTGCTGGGAGAAAATGGGGGGCAAAGGTTGGATTAATGCGGAATAATCGAAAGGTTGGATTATTATGGGTGGTTAGGGGATTTTGCTCCCACCAATCGGAATGCGCCACGTGGACCAATCAGGTCCTGCCAAGTGTCCCCCAGTTGGAACAGTCAGGGCTTCCCACGTGGCACGCGCTTATTCGTCCACCTTGGACCTGTTATGTCAAGACATGTGGCATACTCCATGCCTAATGGAGAAACCGGCCACCCAGGCCCAACTTCCGAGGGAAGCCCAATCGGCCCTAGGTTTACCTAAACCTAGGATGGGCACGTTTTCCAAGGTTATAAATATCTCCCTTAATCCTCATTAAGGGGGAGAACAGAAACATTACGGAAAAAACACATTAATTACACACAGTAA